TCCCCGTCCCCTGGGGCTCAGGGAGGGGCAGACACTTCGGATGTACTAGGGTGCTCCGTAGCTGGAGCAGCTGTCAGGACTCCCAGGGTCTGTTCCCAGCTCTGGCACTGCCGTGCTTGGGGCGAGCTTCACCCTCTCTGGGGACTGGTGCAGCGGGCTGGTGCTATGCACTGGGAGCTGGTAGTGCATGAGTGTGTGCAAAGAGCTGCCGGGGCCGGGACTGAGCGTCTCTGCCTGGGGGCTCCCTGCTGCCTTTCCGTAACGCCCCTGGATCTCCAGCCCCCCAAATCTCCCTGGACTGTGCCAGCAATGGAGCCAGCCCCTGGGCTTGGGCGGAACTGAGGGGGCAGGCTCAAGTCATCCACCCCGTGGGGGGCTCGACGCAGCGATGCTCTAGAGGAACGGCTCCGAGCAGAGCTCCTGGCCACTGGGCAGGGCTGAGCTCTCCCCGTGCACCTTGGTCTGTCTCTCATACATCCTTGGCCTCACCTCCTTCTGCTGCTCTCTCCTGCTCTCTCTCTCTTCCCCCCCCCGCTTCTGCTGCCTCTCGGCGGATCGCTCTGCTCAGCTCTGAAGACCGTTCCTTTCACAGCCCGGACAGGCAAGCGCTCGTCCCGGCTCTTTTGCGAGGCCAGCTTCAATGAGGAGAGCCCCCTGTAGCTCTAGGTAACCCCTGCCTGGGGAGCTGAGGTCCAGAGGGGTGCCTGGGCCTGGGTTACGGCCTGCTTTGGAGGAGCTGGGCTGGGGGAGCAGATTCCTGGCACGCACCTGCTGGGAATTCAGCCTGTTCCCTCTGAGCTGGGTGCGCTTCAGGTGGGAGGACGCTTTTCGGCTGCCCCTGTCCCTTGCGCAGCATGTGAGTCAGGGTGGCGCTAGGCTGGGGGCTCACGTACGTCTGTCCGTCACTTCCCTGCCCACACTGCTTTGGGTAGTGATCTGGTTTGCGCTCACGCTCTGTAGGGTTGGGCCTGGTCCGTGTGGGGATGGCAGAGGCCTAGACAAACTGCGGGTGCCTCACCAATTGGTGCAGGAGGCAGCATGCATCCCTTGGCGCCAACACAGAACGGGGAGGCCCAGCGAGGCGCTGGCCCACTCCTGCTGGGCAAGCGTTGCAATATGAAGCCATGTCCCCAGCTCCTGGCGTTCTGCTTCCTTCCATGCCAGCTGGATGGGAAAGGCCCCTTCCACCCCACCCCACAGCCAGCAGCGGCTGCATGGCAGGGTGGGCCGTGGCCCCAGCATCTGCTGGGGGTGAAAGGCACCAGTGAGGGGAGTTGCTCTCATCCCCTCAGGGCAGGTGCAAAGGGCTGCGTGGTTCCCCCTTGCTGGCCGGCTCCAACCAGGCTCCGTTTTCTCTGGGCACAGGTCTGCGGAACCAGCCGTACAGGCGTGGCGACACCGGCCGGTGCAGCGCCAAGAAACGACCCACTGGCCAGACCCTCCAGGTGACCTCTGACATCTCGCTGTGACCGCCCCACCTGGAGGAGGCCAGCCAGCAGTGCCACTCTGCCCCGCCAGGGGAGAAGAGGTGGATGTGACCCACAGGAACTGGGCCACCATGGCCACTGGCCTGAACCAAGGACTCTCACACCAATGGGAGAATCCGTGCTCGCCGCTTCAAGCCGCTTAACTGCTCAGAGTGCCAGCTGGTGCCATGCAAACCCTCCCCCCTGCCCCCAAATCAGCCATGCACCCGGCATGCCTGGCACAGGGCTTCCCCCACTGGCCAGGCAGCGGACGAGTCAGTGGCTGTGGGGAAGGGGGAATGTTGCGCGTGTGGCAGCTGCTTGAGCTCCACAGGGGAGACCAGAGGGGGGTTAGGGCCCCATCCCTCTTCTCCCTCAAGCAACACCACATGCTGGGCCGGAGCACAGCCACTGAGGGGGTTCTGCCCACGGTCTGTTCTAGCCCTGCCTTCCTGCTTGCCAATTTCACTTCGGGTTACAGTCCATGGGCTGCATCTTGTACGGTGACCTCCCTTCTCCTGCTGCTGTAGGGCTGACCCTGACCCCAGCCCCCCAATAGGCCTTGACACTGCCTTGCTCCTT